ACTTCTATTTTTGAGGCGATGTGAAAGGGTCGGTCTATATATGTAAAACGTCCGAATGTTTGTAAAACATTTCCTCAAACTGGGTGCACCGAATACAGGGAATTATTTCTCTATTTTCACTAATGATAAAAGAAAATGAAATCGGTTAATAAGGTAAATCTAATCCTTATCAATTTCTCGAGCATACAAAGTGGAGGGAATTTATTCAAATTAAAAATCCCAAGGTTATATTCCAGAAAAAGGATTCGGTAATTTAATATATATATATTTTTTTTAAACTGAAGGAATTAAATAGATCTGCAATACATGCGATCCTTTTAATGGGATACAAAGCAATTTAATACGGATATTCTTTCCCGCAACTGGAGGTTAAAGTAGAAATATGGTATTCCTCTTTCTGAAATTTTCACCGTAAATCAGAGGACACGTACTAAAGTAATTCTAGAACAGTTGTCCCACTTAACACGTTCCCTGCCGCGTGGGGCGTATGCGCCCCACGCTGAACTTTCCGTTCAAACCATTTGGTATTATCATTGTAAAATGAAGAATTTTTTAAAAATTCATTATGCAATCAATTATGGGCATATTAATACTATTGCGGATGCGCTCATTTGATCGTGAACGGAAAGTCTTCAAAAAACGGTCTGGCAGGGAACGTGTTAAGGGAACAAGACTATAATCAAATAATTTATCAATTTTTACTCGCGCATTTGAAAGTAATGTTTATTTAATACAAAATAGGTTGACATCAGCCGAAAGAAATATCTCTTAGTGTATAAAAACATAATGGGAAATAGAAATGTACAAAAAAGTGTTCGGGGAATCTAGCTCGCATGTGTAGAAGAAGAGACCCACTGAGAAGGATGAATTACCCCGAAGAAATGACATGACGTCTTTTATTTTTCATTCCTAAAACACCTTGGGGTCAAAGAGGATGATCGTTAAAGATGACAGGGTCTCTTCTGCGACCAAGAGTTCTTGACGGGATTTCATAAATGCGAGCTGCCTCATTCACTCCAATTTCCCTAGCTTTCAGAATATGAATGGCTTCTTTCAGATTTTCTTTTGACCGCTTCTCTCTGATTTGATTACTTCTTCTTATATATTTTGTCAACATCAAGATGAGGTCACACCTTTCGTAAGCTAAACAATATATGTATGTAGTCATTAGATAAGCAGAACTTTAATTTTTAGATATTGAAATTATTTTAAGGTGAAGTGAAACACGTCGAGGAACTTGATCGGCGTCGATAAAGAAGATTTTCCTAAATGCCTACGTTGCCGACGTTCGTTTTTATATTGACAGCTGTGTCGAATTAAATTGGGTATTGTACCAAATGGCATACTCCACCTGTCGTTTTCGTACAATAAATATCAAGAAATCGAAGTAAAACTCCAGAAATCCTCTGGATTCATGCTTTTTGGGGCCGTAATTGACTGCAGAGGGACTCCCTGCGCCATCTGTGATTTCCAGGTCAATTAAATTTTCACTCCGAGACCTCGTATTCCCATCGTTTTAGCATAGAAGCGCATACAACA